GACACCTGATCTGATTTTGCTGATATATGGTCATACTTGAGTAAGATAACAAGCATTTGGATTAAGGCCGTGTCGTTTTGGTATCCAGACCCATGTAACACCAACATTGTGATGCCAGGAAAATGTTGACGTTCCAAATTCGGCAATCATCTTAATAGTTTTAAGCCCACATCAAACGTGATTTGGGGTGATGCGCTTCCCATAAAATGATCGCCAACCCATAAGTGAACATTCGATGCACACCGGTCATCTAACTCTCATTTTTGGCTCCGTGAACTCCGTTATATGTGGCAACAGCCACACCTGGGTAACAAGTCGGTAGGTGGGTAACCAAATGAGGGTAATGGGGTCCTTCAAAATTCGATGAGCCACAGTTTCCCCCATACATGTGAAACGATCCCAGAAAACTGGATAAACGAGATCATTTTCTCGAAAGTGGCTTGAAGCCCAATGCATAACTGCAAAATAAACGCAACAGCCTTGTACGACCATTTCATTTTTAAAGGCTAGGAGTACAACTGAAAAACTCGAGTGATATTGGGTAAATCCGTCGCGCCGAATTCCCACGACTCTTTATGAATTCGGCTCATTCTGATTAGATGAGAGTACTTCTGGGCCTGATTTGATCACATGATAATTTTTTGTGCAGAGATGAAATAACGCTTGAGACGAAGAGCGTGGAAGCACTTCACAGCCGTTTCGACTTAGGTGGACACCATCAGGTGTGGCTGTTGCCACATACGACGGAATTCATGAAGCTAAAAGCGAGAGTTATATGACCGGTGTAGATCGAATGAGAATAGCTGTTTCGTTGGAACATGTCAAGTTCCAAAGGTCACCATATGTGAATGGACTGATTAATACGAATTGTTTTTTTAACGTTCACTTGTAAGTTGAGGTTGATCATTTTGTGGGAAGCGCATCACCCCAAATCACCTTTGACCTGGGCTTGAAACCATAAAGATGATTACTGAATTTGAAAGGTTAGCCTTTTCCTGGCATCACAATGGTCATGTTACCAGAGTTTCGATACCAAAACAATAAATTTTGCTCGAAATGGTTGTGATCTCAATTAATTCTACGTTTGCCTACTTTTCTTTGTGAAAATTACACTACTAATGAGTAGCAACTTTGATAGCGTGTTGTTCACGCTCTCGTGAGCGGCCCTCGCCGAAACTGCTCAGACGAGAGCAATCAGTGTTTTTTTTAAACAGACCGGATATAAATTTTATCCTCACAATAAACAATAAAACCGCAATGCAAACCTAAAAATTTACTTAGATATTGCCGAAATCGCTCCTGTTCCCTTTATTGGTGGCGGTGGTCGGGTGGTTGAGGTCATCAAAATAGTGACCTAGAGATTCCGACTTTGAACCGTGCCACGGGCTATTCTCTGTATCTACCCACGCAATCGTTATATGGTCGCGGTCCACTTCCTGAAATTTTATCGTGCATTTGTATACTCAATAAGCAAAAAGGAAGAGAAAAACATTTCATCGATAAGAATATTCGGCTCACTCCGGAGAAGGAAAACGCCATCTGTGTCCCCAAGAAAGAACTATTCATAAGGATCCCATTTAAGAGGGACTCCCACACCGAGAGTCTAGTACAGTAACTGAAAGCGGCTGTTAATTCCACCTTCCCCGCAGCAAAACTTAGACCAGTATTCTCTACATCGCCCGTGATGCGAATGCAGGTGAAAGACAAACTGCCGAAACTGACCTCATCCATGATAATCTACGCTTTTAAGNTGCGTCTGTGGCGCATGCTACATAGGTCGTACGGTAAGGCGTTTGTCTTAACTTGTTAAGGAGCACCACCCGCGATGGTTGAGTCCGGGAAAAACCGGCTGTATCTCAAGCGCCATTGTGGGGTATCTCACCGACACCGGCCACAAGATCGATCCGGAAAAAGCTTTTGATGTGGTTTATCGCATCCCAATCAATCGCTCAAGGGCGGCCCGAGTTCGAACACTAGCTATGACCGAGGCGATCGCCATTCGCTTACTAGGCCCCGACCTGTGTGCCCAAAAGCGATTGGTGCAGGCGCTCCGAATGCCTTGGCCGTGTGTGAAAACCAAGACGGAACATGACGTTTCACTTGACCCAAGTGGAGAAAGGTCACATCAACTAACACGTTAAACTTTCCTACACACACACACACACACACTCCCATTACTCTCTACCTCCGAATATTGACTTTAAAATGAGCCAATGGCTATGATTATGTAAGAATTTTTTCTACTATATGATATGTAAGAGCATGACTAGGAATATCCGAAAACAACTGTTTGCTCACCGACTCGTTTTCTCAATGCTATCATGGGAATATTCAAGCTTTTAAGAAAAACATTTATTATGTATTAATTGATTTGAACTGACTATCCTTCGAACCTCACCTCCAAGCACAATCCTCAGTCCATCGATTTAACAATACATTCGGAAGTATTAGACTCGAATTTCGCTCTTATTAGAGCTCATCAGTAGTGCATGTCCACGTCCCGTCCGGCATTTGAACTACGGACCGATCGCACAGAGGGTGTCTGCGTGTATGGGGTACCCGGTAGGAGTAGCACCTCTGACTCGGAGGGCTGTCAGCCCCTTTGGAGCATCCTCTACTCTTTGGTCTCCACCAGGCGCTCAGCTCTCATATGTGACTCAAAGAAGCTGTTTGGATGCAACAG